CAGAGCTTGTTTTATTTCTGTATTCTCCTTCCTTAGTTCTTGCATATTTCTCTGCAAGTCCATCAGGATGGTTATGACTTTTGTTTTGAATTCTTTTTCAGGAAGACTGGTTAAATCTATCTCCCCAAGTTCCTTCTCAGGGGAAGATGTAGCAGATGCCGAAGCTGTCTGGGTTAGTCTTGTCTGGATCATATTTTTTTGCCTTTTCATGTTTACAGGTGCTATTGACTGTCAGCTGAGAGGGTCAAACTTTTCACTTGCTACTGGCCTTTCTTTACTGGGACAACTGCGACCTCTAGTGGCTTGTATTGGCTAATTGCGTGTAGACTGGGTCTTTGTGTCTTGCCTGGCTGGTGTGGAGGAATCTCCCTTTCTGAGGGCATGGTCTGCCTTAGACTGCTTCTCTGCTTTTGCAGCGCCCGGAAGGGTAATGGACCAGAGGGCCGTTTTGGCTGTTTACCTCCATGAGGGGTCTCAGAGCTGTTGCAGAGGGAGTTAGTGTGCCCTGTTTTCCCTGTAATTTCCAGCCACTGGGCTGTGACCTGTGTTGTATCCATCCAGCTGTTACGGCCCTGTCCCTTTAAGACTTTCAAAGAGCACTCGCTTTTCTTTGTCACAGGGGCATCAGCTTCGGAACCTGCTCAGAGGTCTTGCTGCCCTGTTTCCCTTGTTTCCAGCCCTCCACACATGCGGGTGGCTGGAGCTGGGTGTTTAGCAGTCCTGAGCTACCTCTCCCTCCTGCCGGGAGCTTGGGGGAGGTGTGCTTGGGTCCCGCCGGGCCGGGGGTTGTATCTTACCCCTTTCACCAGGTGCTGGGCTCTCGCACGTGTGGATGTAGTCTGGCTCTTGTCCTGTGTCTTCTGGTCTCTCTTTTAGGATTAGTTGTATTTGTTGTATTTTCAAAAATATATATTTTTGGGGGAGGAGATTCCCACTGTCCTACTCATGCCACCATGTTGGCTCCGCCTCTCTAGATCCTTCTTAATCAACACTCCCATTCTTGGATCTTGGAATGTAAAGCAAATCACTTCAAAATGTGGATGGCTAACAACTTTGTATAGTATTTTAATGTGTATGTTGCTTTACTATTATGTGGTGTGGGAAACTGTCTTTAAGTTGTTCTGAACCTATTCTGTACAACAGGAGGACCCTGATGGAGAAGAGCTTTCGTTCCTATGTAGAAAATGAGAATTTTTCATGTTACCCACACCTTTCTTCTTCTTGGGTTCATTACTGATCATTATTTCAGTTTGTCTAATATTACCCAGTCCTTTTTACATAATTAAGTGTGTGTGTGCATGTGTTTTGAGTTGAGAGGGAGAGACGCAAGGAAAAAATGAAAACCTACATTGCAGGTGAATAGTGATACAATGCTTGTAATTTCAGTGTGCTCTGGCGCCCCACATCTTATTTGAGTGTCTACCATTTACAGTAATCTACACCTTGAAAACTGAGCTCCTCACAAATATTCTTTTTCTGAAGGAGAGAGAGGTTGCCCTTCTCTTAGCATAGATAAAATGAGAGGTTTATACTATATCAATGTGCCCCAAATGTCATCTGAGAGCTATTTGCATGGGTATCACTAGAATGTCCATTAAAATTCATTCCTCTGTATTTTATTCCTGCCTTTTTGAATCAGAATGTCTTGTGTGGGTACTGGTTTATTAAATTCTTAAGTTCCCCATGGGATTTTTAGGCACAGTTTGCAAACCACATAACTTATAAATGTCTTTTTACTTTTACATTGTAAGAATCTAGGAGGCCTGACTCTTGTTATTCAGTTAGGATATTCTTTAGAGGATGTTCCGGAAACTTCAAGCAACTTTCTGCTTCACCCCATCAGAAATTATCTTTGCTTTTCTAAATTAATACCAAATAGAGTAAAAATTAAGTCATATGAATTGCTTGGAATTCATGCTTAATACCAGGCCACACAAATATAATTATATGTCATTAAATGTACCTCAGATTAATTGCATGTTTCACTTTATTACTATATTGGATCTTGATGGATTTTTGCTCATATAACATGGTTATTAACCATATAATTTGAAAACTACACATTTTGAATTTTTTTAATGAATAATGAGATTTGATATTGATATTGATATGAATAATGATATTTCAGTATTTTTTTCATACCTAGTTTCATTTTGGAATAGCTACTCTTTTGTGCTCTAATACTCTGTATTTGTGTTTAGGGTGGAAATGAAGAGGACATTTTATTCACTGCATATATTGTTGGAGCATTCCTTGCAACTGGCCGCAATTCCACTGTACGGATTCCTATTATCTTTTAGTTAATTCCCATTATCTCTCAGTTAGCTGAAGGCACAATCACAATAGACTGTAGATTCAGAGTGATTTGAAATTCTTAGACTGAAAGAAGCATCAAGAGAACATTAACTCATTACCACTCTTTAAATTGATTCCACTCAAAGCTTTTTCAATTCACAGTAATCTTTGATGAACACTGTTTTTTTCTTAGACAGATATGCATATGCACACACACACGTTTTTCATACTATGACAAGTACTATATATTCCCTGAAGTTCAGTCGTGAATTTCAGATTAAGAAACCCTGTTCTAAGTATAGCCATGACCTAGTATTCTGTTTTTCTAACCAATTCACTATGTAAACATTGTCAGCTTAAGTGTGGTTCATCTCAACTACCTCCCAATCCAAAATTCAAATTTTTCTGATTGCAAAATCAATACCTTAACTAGGATACTAGGAATTTTCAGGGTCATTAGTATATCTTAACAATCATCTTTAGAAATGTAAGCCTCTCTTTTAAGCATTACAGTAAAACATCTTAGGTCTAAAAATAAATTTGTGTGCTTTGCCAATACAAGAAATTTATATTATTAGTTAAAATATTACTGATCAGAAAAATCTTCCATTTCCCATAATAGTTAAATTTTTATTTCTCAGATAGTAACATTGCCACTAAAAGTGAATTTCAATGATATTTATAAAGTATATGTGTATATATGAATAGGTTTGTATATAAAATATACTTTAAGGATATATATGCGTCTTAAAGAATGATTAGTTTAAATATCCAGCAAGCTTACAAGGTATTTAGGTGCTATTTTAAAATACATTATTCTTCATCACTAGTTTCCTGCTGTACGAAATGGGCTCTTTTGCCTAGAGGAGGCGCTGGAAAATGGTGTCACTAATGGCTATAATCATGCAATTCTAGCTTATGCTTTTGCATTAGCTGGAAAAGAGGAGCAAGTAGAGTCCTTACTCCAGATCCTGGATCAATCTGCTACAAAAAGAAGCAAGTACTATTATCCCCATTGTTAATGGAGATGACCTTGAAGGCACCTACTTAGCGGTCATAATAGGAGCCCTCTCTTTACTAGCATATTTCTGCTTCTCTTAGGTAATTCCCAGTGCCCCTTTACCTTTAAAGAACATTATACATTTTCTATTTCTCTCTTTATCTTTTCTGCTAGTTTCTTTTCAAATGAATGAAGTAAAGGAAGTTAAGCCTGGTGGCGCTGCCCTTGACGAAAAGAACTCGTTATGAAACATAATCACATACAACTTTTGATCTCAGGAAATTGCTATTCGAGTCTATTCATTTGCTAGGGTTACCATAACAAAATATCACAAACTGGGAGGCTTAAGCAACAGAAATTTATTTCCTCACAGTTTTGTAGGCTTGAAGTCCGAGACAAAGGTGTCTACAGGTTGGCTTCTCCAGAAGCATCTTTCTTTGGCTGGCGGTGGCCACCATTTCTCTGTGTCCTCATGTGTTCACCCAGGGTTTGTGTGTTGACTGTGTTCTAATATCCCCTTCTTATAAGGGCACCAGTCATACCGGATTTTGGCCAACCAATGACCTCATTTTACCTAATCACCTCTTTAAAGGCCCTATCCAAATAGAGTCACATTCTGAGGTACTGGGGAGTAGGACTTAAATGTATGAATTTTGAAAGGACACAGTTCAGCCTATAATAGGGACCAAAAATGGAATTTGAATTGTTCTTATGTGTAATCAATGCTCTTTATAGGGACTATCTGAAAATTCTTCCTTTTTCACAGATAATGTGATATATTGGGAAAGAGCAAAGAAACCCAATACTGAAACATCCCCATCCTTTAGTCCCCGGGCACCTTCTGCAGAAACTGAGAAGACGTGCTATGTGCTGTTGGCTGTCATTTCCAAGAAAACTCCTGACCTCACCTATGCTAGTAAGATTGTGCAGTGGCTTGCCCAACAGATGAATTCCCACGGGGGCTTCTCTTCCACTCAGGTGACTGACATGGGCCTGATATTAATAACAATGTATTTAATGCAAATGATGCTATGCTACAATAACATAGATAGCAAAAGTAATCATATAAAATACCTCCTCAGATGAAGAATTTTTGGTATCATAAACCCTACTTTATGTAGTCAATAATCATTTATTGGGCAGTTATTGTATATCAGACACACCACTAAGAATTCTCTCTGTATAAATGAATAAAAGAAGACCCCTTTTCAAAGAATTTGTGCCCAATTTGTATCTCTATTTATACAGTAAAAGTAGACTGTAAATCTAGAACAGATATTGTCATAAGCACTAGAGTCTTCATGGTAAATCAGAAATCTGCTAACTATGGTCAAACTGCACATCAGCCAAGAAGAAAGATTTCTCCCTATTTTTGTGGTCTCCACATTGGGAAAAACAAATGAAAGGAATGAGAAACAGAAGGAATGAGTATGGAAAACAATGATTTATGTCTTTCCTTAAAAGGAAACAAATTTTTAAGTGCAAAGAAATTCATTCCCATGAGAAGAACCTACTTCCCTCCTCACTTTTGTTTTAGTCCTAGTTTCTGAGTAAAACCGTGTTAGTGAATCTTCTAGCATCCTTCTCTTCTTTGAAGACAGGTGGGCAGAAGCTTTATCCAAGGCCACCAAGTGATAACATTTATTTTTCAGAAAGGATTTGGCACTATTTTCAACAGCAGAGATTATACTTTATGAAATTATTTGGAAAGCTAAAAATCTAATTAATATTTATTGAAGAAAATTAAATGGCAACAACTTGTGCAAGCAAAGCTATTTTCCTATTGTGTAGGGTATTGTTTCTTGGTGTTTGATTGACCTTCCTGGGGAATATGCTTATGGATTGATTTAAAGTTCATGGTCCAATGATGGCTGATATTGTGCCATAACAGAGTTTGGGGGTTCCTTTACTGTTCCTGCAGGACACTGCAGTTTGTCTTCTTGCCATAACCCACTACATGAAGTTAACCTTCTCTAATGATCAAAACACTGTCACCTTTAGCAGTGAAGAATCCAGTGAGATTTTCCAGGTTAACAGTTACAATCGCTTATTGGTCCAACGTTCAGAATTGACAAAAGCACATGGACAATACACAGTAAATGTGGAAGGACAAGGCTGTGCCTTCATCCAGGTAATAGAAATCTACCTGAGGGAGAGATGAGTGTTTGCTAGTAAAATAGTCAGACAATCTGTTCAGTTACAGATAGACTGTTATTTCACCAAGTTGCCTGTTTCTGTGCTTTTCTCTATTCTTTCTCTCATTGATATCTTCTAATCAATAGCTGAAATGCAAGTTATTTCATGAGGAGGTACTTATGCTTAAGTTTATCTGCGTAACCGAGAAGTTTCTTGAGGAATGTCACTGTTAGAACGTTTTCCGGTATTTTCATTAAATTTTGTTGTTAAATATTCTGTGTCTTCTGAAAACTAAAAAACTTACCTTATTCCCTTATGCTAAAGACATAAAATAAAGTGCATTACTACTGACATAGAGAAACACTAAGTTGTTCCATTTTTACTACAGGATAAATGGGTGGATTTTCATATGATTTGCTATCCTTTCCAGGCTACCCTAAGATACAATGTGATACTACCTAAGAAGGCATCTGGATTTTCCCTCTCCTTGGAAATGGTAAAGAAAAACTCCTCAGATACATTCCAGAGTAATTTTGACCTGACAATAACCCTCAAGTGAGTGTTCTCTTTTGATACTAACTCCCAGGTTAGAGACAGCATAACAAATCAGAGAAGAATTATTTTAAACAGCAGCAAAATACCAAAATATTAATGATGGTGACCGTGATGAGCTCATACATGGGTGGTGATGTTTCAATAGCATAGTCACTTTATATCTCTCTGTGTTCACATACCACAATTTTGTACATCTTAAACTTAAACCAGAGCTGGAATTATGCAAGTATAACTTGAAAGCTTCTGCCACACTCATATTCCAGTAAGGCTTCCATTGTTTTGTACGAAAGCACCGTCAAATTTCGACAGTGGAGATCCTGTTTTTCCTCCTAAAGACAAACACAAATGGGAATAGAGGAGAATACCTACATCAATTAATTTATAACCATACTGGGAAAAAATTTAGGTTTTCTATTTTTCAGAGTGGAAAGACAAAATAATTCTCCTGAATTAAAATATATAATTCATAGATGCCAAAGAGTTTTAGCCCTGGTTAACATGTGGAGAAACCCCGAATAGAACTAGATGAGGGATTTTTCTTAAGATTTCCAAATGAAAGCCTCTTGGACACCAGAGCTAAGAACTAAATAACACTGTGGAACACTTACCTTCATTGTCTGAAAAATCCCATCCAGAGTCAAGGACATAACCTAGAAGATCTCTTGGAGACATGTCTATTCTATGATTCTACCAATATCTTGCTTTCTAAACAAAGATGTCCTTAAGTGTTGTGCAAATCTAAGGCTCATGTAAGTATATGTAATATAAATGTATAAGCTTCGTTTATAAGTTCTGATTTGAGGCCTCAGGTGAGCCTAAAATCAGAGTTTGGGGAGATTCTAGGTCCAGATAATTCATTCTTCACTCCAGTTTATGCTGCTTTGTACCATCCCATCCATTATTGCTCTAGTTGTGCCTATTTTCAGATGTTTGAGAATGACTCTCCTCAGATGTTTCCTCTTCAGCTTTTGCATTTTCTCCAGACTTACAGCCAACTGGCTTCTATGTACCCACCACCATTGCCCAAAGATAAGTCACTTTTCTAAAACTGATATCCAAACTAGAGGTTTTGTTTTTAAATTTCAGATATACTGGAATTCGCAATAACTCAAATATGGTCCTTGTTGATGTAAAAATGCTATCAGGATTTATTCCAGTCATGGCATCCATTGAGAAGGTAAATAATAAGCCTAATCCTGAGGCACAGAAAAAGCAATAGTCTATTGATGAAATGATTCATCAGCAAAACCAAGCCATGGGATTCTTCCCTTAAACAAACTTATTCTGAGTTCACATTTTTACTTTTGCTGTAATACTGACTGAAGGGATGGTATTCTTAATTTGTAGCAATTAGTAGACATTATTTCCCATAATTCATTATTTATTTAGCTCCTATTTGTGTGTATAAAAATATCATGGCACAAGGGGACATCCCATAAAATAGACTTCTGATAATTGGTTAAACAAAAAGCATAAAGCTTTTCCATCCTGGCAGAGTACTCTTTATTAATGTCTATCCCCCATCATCCCTCCCTGCCAATTCCTTCAAAGCTTGAAAACAATGGCCAAGTGATGAAGACGGAAGTCAGGAGTGGCCATGTTGTTTTCTACCTGGAAAATGTAAGTGGAGCAATTCTTCTTAGGATTTTCTTTTTTTTCTTCTGAGGGTAATTGGATGCTTTGAAAGTTTACATGATAGGGTTTGTCAAAAAATATGGGGCACAAAGATGATGAGTATTCTTCCATCCTACTTATAATCTATCTTCTCCCTGTTATTTCAGTTATCTTATATATGCCTTGATTAACTTGCTAGATGAATGTCAAATTTAGAAACATTATTTCCTTATTTATTCATCACAGCATCTAGCATAGTCTGGTTACAGAGTAGATGTATAGTTCTTTTATAGTTTGACTTGAACTTCAATCAAGGCTGGCATGAGTTTCTTCTATGTCTACATTATTACAATTCACATTAATGCCTACATTACCCGGATGCCTTCAGCTAGATTCCTTGTACCTCAGTATGTGCAATGGAACTTAAAATTGTATACAATTTGATGTTTAATGTATACCTAACTCATCATTCTGTTATTATGTAAGAAATTAATACCCTGAAGTTATTTAATTGGGTAAATCATGAACTTCTGGAAGTAATTCGCCCAGTGGTTTTTCTTTTTGCAGACCTGCTCTGGTTTATTTATAATTTCTGTCTTTACAGGTTTTTGGCACAGCAAACAGATTCACTTTCTCTGTTGAACAAACCAACCTTGTGTCCAACATTCAGCCAGCCCCAGTCATGGTCTATGATTATTATGAAAAAGGTAAGCAAGCAACAGCATCCAAGACTCCCTGAGCTACTAAATTTACCAAAATTATCCTCAGTCTTCAGAGACTGCATAATACTTTGTTTTACTTTATATATTCATTTACATATATTGACTATAATATATATATATGTGTGTGTGTGTGTGTGTGTGTGTGTGTATCTCCATGGTATATTTTCTGACTGGGCCATTTTCCAGTTCCCAGAATTTTTCAACACCTAAAATTCTTTTGATATAATGTCAGAAAGTTCCCCTTTAATGTGAAATCCAAACTCTGCTAGGCTTGCAGGTCTTCTTGGTGTTGTTAACACCAAGTCTTACATTTCATGCTACCTCCATGAACTTTGATTTGAGAAGGGGAATAGACAATATTCTGAAATATTATAGGAAAATCTTGATAGATTAGGTACCAGAACAACTACTAAGATGTTGTAAAAACCATAAAAGTGTTTCCAAGAAGGTTAGTGCTATTAGTTTTTTGTGGATGTCATACAAAGTTTGTCAAGAAGTCGTTGAATCCCGGCTCTGTCATTTGCTAACTGAATGCACTTCATCTAGTGTCTTAAACTTTAATAGTGTTTCTGGATTTAGGAAATGGAGAAGTGATTGACTCTTGCAAAATTATTGGAAATGTTAGTTAGATCTAATGTATCTCTATTCCCTGACATAATCCATTTATGTAGACAGTTGGAGATTTAAGAAGGATGAACTTTTGCTTTACTTTCCAGATGAATATGCCCTTGTTTCTTACAACATTAACAGTGTTCCAGTTTCCCAGTAAAAGGAAGCAAAGCACTGGAAAAGGTAACAAAATTACATACATTGAAACCATTGAAAATACATCTGTAAGAAAATGAAAACCTAAAGAGATAAAGCAGTGGATGAAGCAAAGACAAGTCTCTGGTTGTTCTCAAGGTTTGACTAGCTCTGTGTACTAGATAAGAGTTCTGATAGTTATTAAGATTTTATTAATTTCTTTAAAAAAGCATTAAAGAATTTATGGTTATGTATATGTGGCTTTTATAACTTTCACTTTTTAAAAATTTCATCTTTTTAAATGAATAATTGGTAATTAAATCTGTATGTACACATATTTATACAAATTTATATGTACTTGTGTATGTATATATATTTATGTTTGTTTAGTTCTATCTATATACTTACATATACATACATTTATTTATTTATTGTTTAAACTATGTTTTTAAATCCCAGGTGGAAAGCTATTTACTTTGAACAAACTCATTCATATGTATCACACCCGGAAAAAAACTATGAACCACCACAAATCCTGAATAGTCTGCAATCAGCTATGACTTCTTATCAGATTTTATTTCTTTAGTATCCTATTAAATGCTATGATTTTGAATCTGAGTCTATGATTTTCTTTTCCTTCAGTACATCATTCATAATATTCATCCTAGAAAAGTCAGGGCTTTCTTTGATAACAACTCTAATAATTTGCTTTATTATTGTCAATTCCAGTGCAAGTTTTTAGATATTATGGCATACAGAGAATGGAATCCTCCAACAGCCAAAAAGAGAGAGAAAGGCAGGGTCAGTGAGGATGTGGGGAGAGAAAGTGACAAAGTTAAAAAGGACTTCATTTGAGCTCAAGGAAATAAAAGAAACATATAAAACACACACACAGATTCTTTTCAGTGAAAGACCATCAAAGGATGGGGGGAAAAGTAGGTAGAAAATCAAAAATTAACTGATGAGCTTATTGAGTATATGTCCACAACCAAGGAGACAATCTGAAGGCATTTTATATTTTTAAAAATTATTTTATGGTTCTGAGCTTATCACTTATTACTGAAAAGCAATACCCCATGTTTACCCTTTGCTTAACACTACTGTTATAGCGATGAATTAATATTAAGAAGAAAGAGGCAAGAAGAAACTGGAGAAAATAGGGATGAAAATGAAAACAATTTCTTTACTGGCTTTAATACAGGCTTGGCTGAGATACTGCTACAGATAAGAAAATGCTATTGATAAATTCTCCAGTTGTGGACTTAAGAAAACAGAAACAGAGTGTCCTAGCCTCTTACCAGTATTCAAAAATTAAATATACATTGTTTTCATAGAAGATGGTTAGACTGACTTCTTGTAGTTGCCCTGTCCAATGTATATTGCCAATAGTGCCTTAATTTGCAACTGGGTCCTTAGTGAATGTTTATTAACTGATTCAACATTGATTAAATGCTGATGTCAGTCCATGTCTGGTCATATAATCACTGTGTTAAGAATTCCTTTATACCTTTTCAATTCTGTTTTACCAAAATGTAGCATATCGCACGTGTAGATAAAATATCAATGCTTATATTTTTAAAAAATATCCCAGGCTGTGCAGATATTCAGGGATTTTACTTGAGGAAAATGTGACTCTCTTAGTACATTTCAAGAAAAATGAAGGAAATTTACATTGTGGTATGTAATGTCTCTTTGTGGGAGACTTCTTTTATTTTTTTGCTTAAATAATCAATTCTCAGTTTACATTTTACTTTATATGTATTCAATAGTTAATCTGCTCACATAATTACATTGTCCCTCAAATTATAAGCAGGCAAGGAGGGCTTGGCAACCTCAGCTACTTGCCTTACCTCAAGGCACAGGAAAGTCTGGGATTTAATGTTTCCATTTGCAAGATGTCTCTGTGTTAAAATAAGTATGGCAGGTAATGGGGAACTGAGAAATATATTTTCTAGATAATAAAAGACTATAGACGAACAATGCCACTCTGTTACTTATCTTTTCACTGGAACTTCTCTCCAGTTTATTTTGGACAGAAAACTAAGGTCTTTTCTCTGGTCCTAATTTTAATAGAGAATGGGGCATAAAGGACATTCCAGTTAAGGAGCATTGAATGGGAAGTTGAAAGCTTGTTCGGGAACCTTGCTACTCTAAGTGTTGTCAGAATAACTACACTGGCATAGTTGGGAGTCTGTTGGAAGAGCTGAATGTTGGGTCTTACCAAACATACTAAGTAAGAATCCATATGGTAACAAGATCCTCAGAGGACACAGCACACATTGAAGTTTGAGAAGCACTCAGACATCTCTGAATTTTTCTTTAGCGAATGCTACATTGTTGCTGGTCACTGGTCTTTGAGAGCTTTCATTGTCTCTTTACTGCACCAAAGAATAATATTTCAACATTTTATCTTGTTCACAACTTTCTGCTCCCCATCCCTCTGATACAATGCAATGTTCAAAATAAAATACCTTGAAAAAATGCATCCTTCTGTGTTTGTAGTTGCTCACCCAAGAGCCTTCTCACTTACTTCTAAATTTAGAGATCTTTTGTTTTGCTCTGGCCTCAGGATGTTTTCACATGACCATCATTTTTTTAAGCCACATACATTACCATGGTGCCTAGTGTCCAGAGGTCACATTCTCCCAAACACACACTCTTGAGACGGAGGTTTGTCTGTAGGGGGCTGACTGGGGAAGACTTTCAAAGTCAGCACGAGTGGAGGATAAAGGAATCAGGATTGTCCAGGCAGAAGAATGGAATTGTTATGGGTCCAAGTAAAAGTTTAGCTCACATGGAGCTTTGGTGTTGGGATGGTGTTTTTGAATTCGCCTCCTTTAAGGCAAGGGAGCCAGGTCTTCATACCACCCAGTGCGCATTACCGGGCATGGAGCTGCCCCTAAAGAGGAGGAGGAACTTACCAGGCTCTCTGATCTGGAGGAAATTCTCAGAGCTGAATTCATCCAAGAGCCAACAGCCACCAAATGTCTAGCAGCTGGGGTAATGAGGACGCCAGCCACACGGGGGAGAGCCTAAAGGACAAATCACAGATCCCTACTTGGGTCTAGCATTGAGAAGTAGGAACCAAATCTGACTGATGACCGATAGAGGAGTGTCTCCAGGTACAGCAACTGGAATGATGTTGCTGCTTGGTAGGAAGAGAGCGAGAGATTGATTCAGAAGAAAATTCTTTTTCTGCTGTCTCCTTTCTTTCAAACTGAGATATTTTTGAGAAGAAATAACCTTTGGTACTTGAGGAGCCAAACTGTGACCAAAAAGACAAACAATATTGCTGCACCAAAAATCAGAGCAGAAAAAAATGGAGTGAACTCCTTAATGGCCTTGGTGAGTCGCTGAACCAATGAACCTTCCTCAAATTTTGCCCCAAAGGAGGTAATAAATGTTTGATATATTTAAATTTAAATCTCTATTAGTTAAACAGCCTGTTATTTACAGCTGATATCTTCTTAGCCTTCTTTTTTTCCCTCAATTTCTTGCCTCATTTTTCCTATCTTATCTTTATATAGAACTTGTGATATCTCCTTTTTAAAGTTGTCTCTAGATTATTAAATCTGGGAAATCGTTTTGGAGAGGGGCCTCTGCACGTGCTTGGCTGACTTGAATCATTGTTCACAGTAATCTTCATGACTGGCACTTTGCGGGTGGGAGGTGCTTCTGTGTGTGTGATGTTCAGTCTCAATAGGGACTTAATGATTGTTGTCTATGTGTCAGACACTACCTTAATCACTTTAAAATATTTCAATGTGTTTAAATATATTTGAATACATTTAATCACTTTAAATATATTTAAATATATTATTGCTTTGAATATATTTAAATATATTTATTTAATCCCCACAACAAGCTTATAATGTATTGTTTTTATTTTTATTCCCATTTACAGACAAAGAAAGAGAAACACAGGGATTTGAAGTAACTTGTCCAAGACCACCTGTCTGGTAAGTCAGAACCAGGATCCGATGCTGGCTGCCAGGCTCCCTGGCCTTTGCCCTTCTCTTTTACTGCCTTGCAAAGAAAGGAAAGACAATTCTATACACAAACCCAATTCTTAATTTACTAATACTGAAAAGACAGAATGAGTCCTTCCTTTGGTCCACCATAAAAGTGCAACTTGTATGGAAAGGGGTTGCATTTACTGTAACCCTTCCCAAGGGGGTGCATACGTTCCCAACAGCACTCTGCCTGAAAGACTTGCCTCTGCTGGCAAAAAGATTCTGGAAATTTTATAACTTTCTGTGACAGCTTAGAGGCCAAAATCAAAACAAGTTTGCAGACACTTTGTTACTTTCAGTACCAGTAATTCAGAGGAGAACACTGTGAACTTGCCGCCACTGACAGATCCCCACCGCAGTTACAGACTCCTGTTGTCTTCACACAGAGAGAGGTCTGAAGGGAGAAGGCAGGTGAGAGTATTGCTTCCCGTCGACTGGGTGGAACTGCCTGCAGGGGTTGTGGGTAGAATTTTCATCAAGAACGTGTTCTGCAGAGGGAAAGACAAGTTCTCATTTGTTACCTGACTCAGTAAGTTCCTGGCAGATTTCCCCTGAGCCCTTAGCCTCTAAGAAATATTGCCTAACGCTGAATGTTATGCAAAGTAATGATAGTCAAAGCATGCAAAGTGGTGAAAGTTCTTTCCAGAACCTTCTTATTTTCTTAAAATTAAAAACTGAAAATACTACCTGAGGAACCATATTTTAAGGGAAGTGAAGCAGGGAAGGTGGAAAGGACATAGAACAGAAGTTATGCTCCAAAATTTACATTAATTGCTAATTAAGAGTTATAACATTGTACTTCTGTTGAGGAAGAGGCATCAGTGGGTTGCTGAGGAAAAAATCTGGGCAAGCAATTAGCAAATAAGAAATGAAATGTGTAGTATCAATTCAAAAGAAAAAGCATTGTATGAAGAGTCTGACACTTAACTTTTATAGACCTAATGACTAATTAATTGTTTTCTTATTGGGATATTCTTTGTTGGGTCTACAAAACTCTATTCCATCATAGGTCAGCATTTTTATGTTTCATGCATTCAAGTCCTCAGATTTAGCCTTTTGATGTCTTTCTCTCATTAAAAAATAATACATTCCAAGATCCTTCAACAATTAATAAATAATTGCTAAGTAGCTAAATATTTCTTTGACCCTTTTGATCCATTTTAATGCTTTTGCTTAAATTTTGTAGGCAGTATATTCTGCTGGTTCCTTCTGTTCTACAAGAAGGCTGGTGTATGCTTATCCACAAATCCATCAAGTTGTATACATTAAAGATATATATGGCATTTTGTAAGTCAACTATACGTCAACTAAGTGGTTTAAAATTATAGACTATATAGTGTAAAAGCTAGATATTTCATTTTGGAGGGCCTGGGTTGGGGTGGGGTGTCTTGGAAATTGTATTTTTAAAGTGCTTCTGTGGTAATTCTAATGTAACCCATGTTTCGGAATCACTAAGTGATAATTATGCAAATTTATGAGCTTAAAGTTGAATTACAGGTAAAGAGCATCAGAGTATATCAAGAATATGTTAAGAAAACCCTACTAACTAAAGAATTGCCCAATGATAGAATGGAAATTGTACCTCACAGGGTTACTACAAGCTGA